GCCATTATAGACCTATAGAATACGATATAATTCAGGTAGCCGTTTTTTCTCTCTGCCTTCTAATGTGTAAATTGGATCTACTCGTAAAATTGCGTATTTATTCATTCTCCATATATAGTTTACCCTGTGTTATGATAGCTGCTGTCATAACTCGAATTAGATCACTGTGATCTGTCAAGTGACAGCTACACAAGGCCAATGGCACTCAAAGGCGATTATGGGATCCATGTGCCCATGGAAAACCAGCACGGGTAGAATGTTATATGATAATTTCTGTGGTGTTTAAGTATTAATAAATCACACCGAAGACTCACGTACACAAGTTAAAGCCAGAGAGTCGGAAATCGATCTATACTAGTGCACAGCAACTAGCAAACTATGCATATGAAAAAATAGTGATATATACATTCACACTATAAAAATTAATTTAATTTTAGCTGGTATAGAAAATGAAAAATATTCATAATTTATTGGAAAGGGCGCGTATAACTCTTCTTTGCAAGGTATTCATCCTAGCACTTATGCTTATACCATACAGTGTGCACAAACATGTGGATGTAGTTGACATGCTAATTATAGAAACAACAGAGAACAACCATACAGTAAGACTAAAAATAAACCCAGAGGGGGCGCTTTCTCCTTCCCGTGGGTATGTAATGCACAAGAGCAGATACATGCACAACATGAGGCAGTATTTCTCAGAAATAAACATAGAGTATTTTTTAGTAAAATTGAATTCACCAATGCACACCAATAACCAGAAGCTGAGCATAGGTGAGGATTTATCTGAGAAATGTGCTATACACAGCAGGGCACAGGAGGAGGCAGAACAGTCAGACGTTAAATTCTTCTTTAAATACTATAAAGCGCCTAAACGGGATGCAGCCCATTTAATTGCGTATAAAAAAGACATTCTAGCGAGTGCAACTCTCCAAGCGTTTGCACAGCAGGTTATTCACATGTTTCCATCAGAAAATGGATATCTGTCAATTGACTCGCAGCAAAAAGACTCGTTTACTCGGCTATTAAGAAACCAAAAATCTGACACCGACTCTATATATCTTCTTGCTGCTCTTCTTTTGCTTTCAGAAGGGGTGTGTGTTCCGCTTAATGTGGTAGAGGATGAAGAAAAAGACACTAGGCTTATTCTACCAAAATTAATTGGCAATGGGTATTACATCGATCTAGACATGTTTTTAGCAGATGGCATAGATGGAAGGGAGAAAGAAGCAGTGTATCAGAAGAAAACAGAAGACATAGTGTGCTTCTTTAAAGATGCGGGAGAAAAGGCGGCTGCAAGTGAAACATTATATACTGCAGAGCCAGCCAAATATAAACAGTTCATGTCAGGCGAGTTCATGAATACTCCGCAGTTTCTGATTCAGTCGTACATATACGAGTTTATTGACTCAGCAGACATGTACATTAAATTCGTAGGGGCAGTATACACCCTTCTTACTGATTATATAAATAATATTGATGGGCATGCGTGTAATAAGAAGGAGCATGCGCAAAAAGTATTGAATGGCCTGTTTATGCAACGAGGTGGTGATCTGGCTCCTTCTGAGTATACTGCGTATTTATGTAAGCTGGCAGAAGCAAGAGAATATTACACAGCAACCCCATTTATAAGTGATTTACAGGCGCCCAAGCCTATATCAGTGCATACCTACAGGAAAAACCCCCGTATGTACTCTGCTGGCATTGACAGTGAGTATTGCAACTATGTTGAGGCCACTCTTCTAGGCCTGTTCTGCTGCTTTGCCTTTGACCCAGAAACAAGAAAGTACACCACTGAGCACATGCCTTCTCCGTCAAAAGAGCTACAGGAGTTTTTCAATAAGTACAGCGAGCCAGAAGTGTCTGTAGACTATGCCATGCACAAGGAGTGGTGCGGGGTTGTGTCAAGTTTGGACTGTGGGAAGGTCATTTATCTAAGAAGAGACAGAAACCAAATAGGCTCGGGTATACTTAATATACTGCGCGCGATACAAGCAGTGGCCGGGAGCACCAAGAACATAGATGATGCTATTTCTGAATTAAATAATATACGTGTCAAGGAAACTCTGGACAAAGAAGACCGGGAAATGGTAGAGAGCGCGCTGCAGGCGGTCTTCAAATCGCTCTCTAAGAACAAGCGTGTAACCGTGCAGTGTGGAAAGATAAAGATCTCCAAGCTAGTGGGCATGGATAGAGATCTGTACTTGGCAGCTTCAAATCAAATTCGGATTTCATACGTGCGCAACAATGCGTATGGCGAAGTGCATTTAAAGATTAGCTGTGACTGTCCAGAGATTTCTATTCCTGCGAGTATGGTCTTAATCGGTGCAGAGGAAAAGAAAAAACTTGTGAAAATACAAAAAGAAAGTCTATACCCGAGCACCTATATGCAGTGTCTGATGCACCAGTACTTAAACATTCTTCTGAAGCAAATAACCCAGAATGAGCAAGGCAAATACGTTATAAACAAAAAGACTAAGCATATGATCCGCAATATACACGACTCTCCAAACGCTCTGTTGTTGTGGGGAAGTCTGGAGAATTTGGAATACAAGGCGTGCATTGTTAAACAAGTGCTGCTCCAAACAAGCAGTACGCCTCTAGACACAGACAATCGGGTAGTACGATTCACTGCAAACCTCATAGGCAGTGTGCCGTTGGATGACCTGTATATAAGGCGGCGAATTCTAATGGGGTGTCTTTATAACAGAAACTACCGGCAGTACTATCCTCGCATTGAGTATGATGATCTGCAGGCGCTCTCTTCTGATGAGGCTGGATCTGCTGTGTCCTGTCTAGTAGCCGATGCACTGTCTATAGATATATCTTCTGCCGCATTCATTAGTGCATTTGAGTCTGTGCTACATGCTTACAGAAACGCGCACTGCATGTTTTGGTGGATTGCCAGCGAGTATGCCTGCATTGGAGTACTTGAGAATCTCTGCAAAGAAAACAACCCTCAGACAGCATATAGAGATATTGTAGTCCTAAGAGGCCTTTCTTCTGATTCTGTAGGCGGCAGTGGTAAGGAGCCGCCGTGCACAAACAAAAAGCCAGCAAACGCATTATCTAGACATAGTGAGTCTAATAGCACGCAGTTTGATCACAGCAGTATGCAGTTGAAATCTAGCAAAGCCACTATGCCAGTATGCGAGGAGGTGATATTGCACATAGAGTGCATTTTAAGATTAATAGCCCGAAATATGCACATACCAGATGGGTACTGCATAAATGACATTTATATGTGTTGGCTTGTCCACATCAGCAGCTGGTCCAAAAAGCCTGCGCCTTCTCTCATTAAACTTATTGTATGTGAGCTTATAGACCCTTCTATGCTGTCAGGCGGCTTTATGCGAATTATACCGGCAGGCGCCTGGCATGGTGTTTTGCGAGGTGTCTGCACTATGCTTCTGAGCTGTCTAGATGTATTATTTACTTCTCATAACAGCCGGGGGAGAAAGAAGTACATGGAAATTCTGGATTTCTTTACACAAAGGAAGAAAACTGCACTGAAAGACCCTGCGGCGCCAATGCATGGGTTGTACACATTAAAAAGTAGCTTGCTTGTATTTGATATGCAGTTATAATTTGTGTATAAATAATAAAGGAGAGTTGTATCCACGCACACCTATAGTATTAAATTAAAAATATTGCATGTGTTGTATTCTAAAGTGCAAAGGTTCTGCCTGCTGTTAACTTTTATACCATGCAGTAGAATTGCACATTTTCTTGTGGGTTGAACTGTTTAAATAAATAGTTGGTGTCTTAGAGCTGCTGCCCAAGAAACCACATATTTAATTGTGTGGTAGCATGCAAAAATGCTATAAAACTCAAATCGTTCTATTTAAGCATGTTATTATTTGTAAGACATAAATAATATTTTATCTGAGGGTAAGGCCGAGCCATCAAGTTTATTTGTTTTATTGATACGGCAAGAGTTAGAATGTTTTTTTATCTTAAAAGAGCTAGAATATTTTCTTAAAATATGTAAGGCATAAATAATATTTTATTTTAATAGATCATGCATAGCTTACATTATTTAAAGACTGTCTTTTTTCTTAAAATGCAATCTATAAAAGTAAATACACTAAAAAAAAGACTTATTCTATCTGTTCTTTCTACAGGATATCTGCTGCTTATCTGTCTGGATGTGTGCATGTGCATTATTCCTGGCAGCAAAGAAGAAATGAAAGAGCTTAATAGAAGCGCTGGAGTAGATTCTAGTACTTCAAATGCTAGTAGGACAGAGATAGTGTGCCAGGAAAGAGTAGATTCATCTGAGATTGTTAATATACTTAATGCTCTGAACCAGCCCGATATTGACTCTTCTACATGCGGTTCATCCAAATGCAATTTATCTTTATCAGGTGAGGATGATTCACAGTTGGATGCGCTGTCTTCTGACAAAGAAGATAATTCATTTTCTTCTGACGATACAGGGGATGCATCTGCCATAAATGCGCAAATAGAAGATCCCTCCCTGGGTACACAGCAAAGCACAAGCACAAGCACAGAGAATATACAGAGTTTGTCTGCTGGCAGAGAAAAGAGTGCGGATGGAACGTCAGATGCCTCTGAAAGAAATGAAACAGACGGCTTGGGAAGCCTAGAATTCCTTCAAAGGAGAGTAGAGATGCCCCAAACGGATGAAGAACTGCGCCTGATACAAAAACTACTTGGAATAGCTCAGGATGAAATATACCACCTAAGAATGTACGACTACATAGCCATACCAAAGAGTGCTCCGATTAGATTTATATTCTCCTGGGCGCTAGGCGCACAGCCATTCGAGCAGGAAAACAGACCAGTCCCCCCTATAGTTACAAACTGGATTTCCTCCCAGCTGCGGTGGCTTAAACCAAGCATGCTCGGGCCACCAAGCATAAAAATCATACAAAACAATGCATCCCATGGATATTTTACAGGGTGCATCATACGAAGGTTCCAAGTCTCTCTGCGCTCACCAGACGGAAAATCTTCTGAGCATTTCACGGGCAGTTTCCAGGCGCACTTTTTAATATTCATGCGGGCTCTGTACAGACAGGGCTTATACTTCTCAATTGACCAGCTAAATACACTAGGCAAAGCAGAAGAGCACCCTACTTCTATTGGGGGCTAGCTTTATACAGAGCGCTGTTCATGATATATAGAAGAAGGAATACTCGACTATTAACCATAATTTAAGAATAAATCAGTCTGTGTGGAAATGTCTTTAAAATATTTATTTCAATTCTATTATATAGGCATTGGTATAAATATATAAATATTGTTTGAAAATTGAAATGCATTAATATTGTAACGTGTTTATCTTTCATAGGGTGTTTACATATAGCAGTGCCATGCCATCTTCAGATTGGATTTCTGGTTATTCGGGCTATACCACAAACTATATTTAATTGCTTCTGCTTAGAACTGGGTTAGAGTGTTAATGTGCTTGTGTATGCACACTTGCTTCTTTTAGATGCTCTATTATCATCTGCATCAATTGATCATTTTGGAATCTCCTTGTAAATAGACCATGTGATCACAAATCAACTTGATGTCCGTGCATCATGCAGTGAGCACCAAGAATTTTCAGTTTGGGTTATTTCGGGGTAAGATACTATAGTTATTGATAAATGGCCTTTGAATAACTACCACTGTGCAGAAAAGGTTATATTCACTCTATAGACGGACAGTTGCTGCTGCATGCTTTATGTATAGGGGTCTCGTTTTGCTGGGCACTCTGCCACATTTATTTTCTTTTCCTTACCACACTATATGAAGAGGGCGCCTGTAGGAAGAAGGGGCAGAAAGAGTGCAGCAGCACGGAAAAAATCCTGAAAAGGCCCAAAACAAAAGAGTGAAGAGAGAGGAGCAGCCAAGCCATGTTGAAAAGGCGGAAGAGCCAGAAGTGGCGCCGAAGAAAAAAACACCGTTACCTAGGTCGATAACCCTTCCACGCGGCTGGATCACATAGTGCCTTTGTACACTACGGAGCCAGACACGGATGCTGATCTGCTTCTGACAATTCTCTGGGAGTGCAAACACGCGCACAGTCAGCCTGCAATGGATGTTCTCTCCTGCCGCACGTGTCAAAACTACTTCCAGAAGCCGAAGCACGACTTCTGCTTTCGGCGCCTCACCAAGTCCCTGGTGGAAGAAATAAGCAGAGATCCTCTTCCATTAAATGACGGAAACATCCCAGACCGCAGGAGCCTGCAGCCATTTATTCTACCGAAGCAGAAAGCCGTGCATGGGTCAAAGGAGTTCTGGATTAGCGCGAGAAAGGCGTGCGTGTCTGAAATGATATACGAGGCCCAGAAGGCCAATAGCGGCATCCACGTAAAGCGATCCTCTTCTTTGTACACGGGCTGTGAGAAGTCTGGAGAGCAGATACAGAGGGAGAGAAGGTGCTCGATTCCCTCTGACCACAGCGAAGAGAGCACCACTGAGAGCCAGACTGAGAGCGATGGGAGCATTAGTACCGATGGAAGTAATGAAACTGACAGAAGTGATGAAAGTACTCCTGTGGTCACATGCACAAGCACTCCACGCACAGCACATTCTACTCACTTCTCTTTGGGCGAGAACATTACATTAAGGAATGGAGAAAGCACAGTGTGTGAGAAAGAAAGCAGTGCAGAAGAGAGTGAGTGTGCATCGCGCTGCTCTGCTGCACCAGGCGCGCAGAGTCCTGGAGAGAGCAGGAGTGGCCTGTATAGCAGCAGCAATAGCATAGGAGAGATGCACGATACTATGAGCAGTGAAATTACAGACGAGAGCAGTGAAAGCAGCAGTGATATGGATATACGGCATATACTAGAGTCAGATGAGACAGACAGTGCCGAGGAGTGCACTAGCACATATGATGGCTAGATCTGCTGACGTTTGTTTAAGTGTACATTATAGTATACTCTGTGTATTAGTGCTGTATAGTATGTGCCGGGCCTTCTCTGATGTTCTAGTTTCTTCTATGCATGCTGTGTGCTAGTTATTGTACTCACACATGATGCAATTAAGCTATATCCTGGTATAACCCGAATGTCTGAAGCACCCGGTGTATAAGACACTGTTCTCTTTCCATTGTCGTATAATTGCCTGCCTTCTACTATTCCAAACTCTGTGCTTTATTTTATATGTACCTAGTAATAAATTGTTTATAATGTATTTAGAGTATTTTAGTTATATACACATTATAAATTTATTTTCTTTTTATTCCACACATATAATACAGATAAAAGCAAACCTAGACTAATTTGGATGCTGGCTGGAGAGAAAACACACAGACGGCACAATTAGAGGAGTATTTAAGTCAGAAGGGACAGATGTGTTTATGGGGCAGACCAAGTAAGGAAAGCACAAGTAAAGAGAATATATATATATAAGAAAGAGAATATATATAAAAGAAAAAGCTAGAATACACCAAACTATGCAGCAGATCCAAATAGTTTTTATTTGAAGGAAATAGAGTATAATAAGTAGACAAAGTGCAATAGACCTACTCTTTCTCTTTATATATAAGCAAGATATGTAGATAGTTGATCACATGGGAGTAAATACTATTTATATATTCGGGTATTAATCACAGAATCAAATAGATAGTTATATGCAAGAATGCGTACATATTTTATTTTAGGATATGCACGTGTGCATGGTTGAAAGGCCATAATCAGAAGTCAATATAACTGAATGTGTTCATGCTGTGCATATATTATGAGATGTTCTAGAAATGTAAACAATTCACATTTACTAGCAGTGCATCTTTTTATTTATAGATTGAAATTCTAAAGTATCCTCAAATATCATTTGATTGCAGACATTATAATTAAGAGCAGACTTTTTTCAGAGCATGCCGCACTTTTACAAGTATAGACAGAAGTATCTGAGAGCCGTTCTCACTATTGGAGTAGTGGCTGTATTGTGCATTATCATATGGGCAAGTGTTAGTTTCTGCACGCCAGCAAAAAAGCAAGGCCAGGAGGTATCTGCAGTGATAAAAGAAGGGGATAGCAAGTCCAATGGCAGCTCAGAATCTATAGTTTTATTTGTGCCTAAAAAACAAACTTTGCAGAATAGCACAGTAGTGCGCAGTGATATAGAAAAAAATAAATGCACTTGCGCAGAGAACTGTGTAAATAAAAAGGATAATAAAAGAGAGGAGGATGGCATAGAAAAGAACACAGAAACAATAGAGCCGACAACAAGTGAGCAGGCGCCAGGAGAAGCAAAGGAATGCAATTTAGACAAAGTTGAAGAGAGTATGGATGTAAATAATTCAGAGACTAAACTCAATGCAAAGAACAAACCGGTCGCAAAGAATACTTCTATTACAAATAGCAACCATGTAAATAGTAATATGAAAATGATACAGCTTACAGAGGATGAGAAGAAGTTAAAAGAAACGAGGGGGTCTATTTTAAATAAAGCTATAGACAGCAGGACGGTGAATTATTTAGAGACTAAGCTCATTAGAAAAGGGCAAGCAACAATGGAGAGAAAAGTTTTCTAAAGGACGCGGTATGTGTGGAAAACAAAAATAATAGTGAATGTTTAGAGTGCAATGGTTTACATAGAAGTGTGTTGGACTGGCTGAGCACGCAAGTAGTATGGCCAGAGCTAACTAATTCAGATGCACTGTGCAGGCAGTTTACACAGAACATAAAAAAACTAGAGTGGAAGAATAATAATGTAAATCCAAATATAATTAAAACTCAGCAGCAGATCAGCATTATTATAAAGAGTCCAGTGGACAAGAAGGTAATATATACAGTGGAATTAGAGCAGGAAAAAGCATACACAATATTTCGGGCGGGTAATATTAGTGTGGAGAAGAGGGAAGTATACCTAATTGATGGCAAAAAAGTCATGATATTACCAATCCAAACTTTATCTACTAGTACTAAAAACATTTCTATAGAGCACAAGAAGGGCATGAATAATATACAAAATTCACAAAAAATTGAGTGCAAAGTTGAAATTATACAGGACTTAGAGGTTGTGCATGCTAAAACCGCCAGAAATGAGAATAATATTAAAACAAAAATTATGTCTGCACAGATACAGAAGAGCTTTACTATGATAATTAAAAAAAGATCACTATACCACAAAGACGAGACTGTTAAATTGTCCTGGCTGTTTGGGTAGCTGCTGATATTTGAATGTACTCCAATGGTTCCTTCTGTAGCCAGAGGAGTTATTCTATTTTTTCTTATGCTAATGGTTTTTTGCTCGAGTATTATTCATTACTAGAGACTGTATAAAGAAGTAGCAATAAAAATTAAAGTGTACTTTATTCCATAGCTTATAATTACGACAGTTGTTCTGCCAAGGGCGTGCAAACCCACAGCAGGGCGCCAGAAGATGTATTGGATAGCCACTATATATATTGCACATTCTTCTGTTTGCTCTATTCGTACATGCTTTATATCTAGTCCTCAAAGCACTGCGTAAACATGCAAGTATAAATTCAATTCCGGGTTATTTCTGGTGCTGCATGTCAAAATAAATTAAATTGCAAACTCAGAGTATAAGTACAAGTTCTGGATTCAATAAGTATTGACGTTTACCAATGACAAATTATAAAAAATCAACTATGATTAAGCTTTGCTATATAAAAAGCTAAAACTTGGACAAATGTTATCCTATGCCAATGGCGAATTATAGAAGAACAAATAAAGAGGTAAGAATTTACTCACTGCTGTGTGCAATTATCTACGCGCTACTACTCACTATACCACTTGGTATGGATAAGCACCCGGCTATTAAACAAAATAAAAGCACGCGTATGTATGCATCAAGCAGTATGTATGTACATGCAGCACCAAACGAAACAATTCCTACAAAATCAGCAGCAGACGAGCGCATACAATGGAGAAAGGTTGTAAAACAGCAGCGCAATCTAGTAAAGCCGCCTGGAAAGGTATTAATAAAAGAAGGCGCCACCAATGTAGTCAGTGCAGTCAGTACAAATGTTTCTGGAGAAAAAAAATCATCTAGAGAAGAAAGATCATCTTCCTCTACAAATACAGTACGCGCAAAGAGGCCTCTGCAAAAAGAGAGTGATACAGAATTTGTACGGAGTAATCGTGGTATTTCACAGAAGACAGCCATAGAGCCACAATCTGCGTGTTTGGTAGGCTATGTTAATAACCAGGTACAGACAATAGAGAACTTAAACGCAATGTACATTACCGCACACAGTGAAGAAGACAAAGAGGTAATAGGCTTTTTATACAAAATTGCACAGAAGCATCCGCATTTGTTAGAGCATATAAAGGCTCTTGATTCTATAATGGTTAATAAAATTATTATAAATAAAGATGAAGTGGTGGTTGAGTGTATCAGAAACACCAACCGCAGAGACACAAAAACATTATCGAATGTACTACAGGCGTGTAGTAAAGGTATAACCATAGATGAATGCAGAGGCGATGGAGATGCCACGATGTCTCTTTATATTTCACAGCCAGTGCTTACACAGACCATTTCTCTAATCAACCATGTGCTGCTTATATACTGCAGTTCAAGCAGAGGAGGAGTGGCTTGTCTATCGCTGAGCGGGTTCAAATTCGAGCCAACAGAGGATTTATTTATAAATTACACAATATTTTCATTAATAGAGGGGCTCTCTCTGTCTAGCACCTCAATTTATTCCGGCGGGCTGAACATGCTGTGTGCCTATCCCAACATAAGAAAACTTTCTTTTTGTGAAGGTACCACTGTGAAGTTCAACCATACTTTAGATCTAAGCTTTCAGAGTCTAGAAAGGCTAGAACTATCTGACATTCACAGGTACTATGCAGACTGGGTGCTAAGTGGGACAAAGTCATGCTCTACTCTTAAAGAAATAGAGATATCTAACATTAATTGCATGGAGACAAAGGCGCTAAACAAACTAGGCAATCTCGATAAAATAACATCATTCTGCCTTAGGAATGTGGTCTTCAGTGGCTCTCCAAACTTTGGATTCCTTAAGCACATGCGCGGGCTTCAAACTCTGCGTATGGAAAATATTTTCTACTCGTACACTGAGCAGCTTAGGCTAAAAGAGTTGAGTGAGGTTAAAAACTCCACCAGGTATTTAAACCTAGAAATTGTGCCAAAAACGCATTCTATACCAGGCCACGCGGGAAAGGGGGCAGTTACCACACCCGTGGTAGCAGAAGAGAATATAAAGATAGGAAGGTGCATCTCTCCAACAGCGGTATACGTGGACAGCAAATTGTACAAGGACTTAGGGCTGTGTGAAATAAAGCCAAGAAAAGAAGAAGAGTATACAATATCGATTTCATTTGCACAGGAGGTGATGGAACAAATTGTGATAAATTCAATTGTGGTTGAGTTTATCCTGAACAGTGCACAGACCTGTCTTGAAATCACCTGCAACCCAATTACACACGCCATGCAAACTACTCTAGAGTATATTAAGTGCATTGATTTCCCATTTTTGGCGCAAAATACTATTGAGGATATAACTCTAGTGAGTTGGCTTAAAGAGCCCAGTAAAGACAGTGTATGCAGTGTTTTCTCAGACCAGATATTTAGGTATGCGTCTTATAGCGCGGTTAGATCGATATACATAATATCTTCATGGGCACCGCTAACAATGGACGTATGCAGAATTGCGATGTTCAACAGGAGCATGCCGGGTCTTAAAGAAATAAGCATGTCCAATGTTTTATTTGTAATACGTAGCGGAGTGCCAGAAAACAGCAATGAGGAGCAAATTATGCAGGTATATTTAGAGCACATTCAGACGAAAGGCCCAGATGCATTTAAATGCATGTTTGTAAAGGGTGAAAGTGGTTTAGAAATAGTGAATACTATTGAATAAAAAGGCAATCCACGCTTAATGCATGCATAATAGAGTGTGTGCTCTATGCTCAACTATATCCACCCGATTGCTATGTGAATGAAATATTAGGTGGTTGTATTAGGAATGCCAGGTTATTTCGGAGTACTTAAAGAATGTAAATATTATATTTTGTGAACTATTATGGATGATTTATTAAAAATAAAATATTATTTATGTCTTAGATCATGCTAATTATATAAAGAATTTCGGGTTAAATACACGGAGCCTGGAAATAACATATTAAGAAATATGCTAAATATTGTTGGTTCAGCTACTTTGTTGTTGTAAGAAGACCAGGTTCGCCGCACTTTTTCTAAATCATCAATATTGTCTGTCTCCATGTTTAAGCCATTTTTTCTGTCTACGTATCCTATGTGCTTGAAAGCATATTTTGCTATTTTCTGTATATACTTTACATAGCTCTTTATATCACCCATCGCTGCAAAGAACTCATCGCGGTTTTGTAGCAGTGGGTGGGATGGGCCCGTCCTATTGACCAGTGCTTTGTATCCTTGCACATCATCTAGCTTATTTGTGAAGTTTTCTATAGTTAAAGTTAGTAGAACCACTGCGTTGTATACTAAGTACAGTATTTCATCAACCATTTTGTTAATCCTACTTACACTGGTATTTGATGTGTTGACATTGTTAATTTCTGTCTGTAAACTCTCAATCATGGAATATATTTTTGAGAAATATTCGTTATTCTCTGTTATATACTCATCCCTATATTCATATACATACTGTTTTAAATTTTCTAATCTATAGGGGGTTTCTATATTTGACACATCCTCAATGAACTTAAAGACGCTGGGTATCTGGTGGATAAAACACTTGTTTGTAAATTTCCATATAGTCTTAAGCTGGATTATTGTTAATTTGGAAGTACTTTCACTGCTGTCGCTTAAATCTATCGAGATTGACTTAGAAATAAAATGGGCCACTACGCGCTTTTTGGTTACACTAAATTTAGGCAGGTTGACCCCAAAATGCTCTATTTCTAAAAGCATCATCCCAATAAATTCGGTTATTTTTACTTGTGCATCGCATATTCTACCATTAAGATCGCCCAGAGTCTTTTTGATTGTTTCTATTGTATAGTAGTCAACTGTTTTGTCTACCATAGTACTAGGTGGTTCATACAGCATAATATCCCCCAATCTATACTTTTTGTACACATCTGGGGATTTATTCACTTCTAAAAACATCTTAGCCAGCTGTTCATCACTTATTGCATACTCTTCAAATAAATCTTTCTGTTTGTCTGGATTTCTTAGTTTATAGTGTGTTTCGATCATGTTTTTAAAGTCTTCTTTTACAATGGGGAAATATTTTTGCGCGTCTGCGCTAAGGGTAGACACATTTATGATTTTATAGTTAGTAAATATCATATTTCTAAGATCAGCAAATGTTTTTATCTCTTTCTTTCTTGTAGTTCCATTATTAATAACAAAGTTTTGTATTAATTTGTCAATGCAGTCCGGATTTATTACAGTTTGGTAGCTATTAATCCTATCTGTTCTGGCAACGTTCACCAATTTGTAAAAGTATCCTCTTAGCTCCTTTTCTGTAACATCTTCGAAATTTAAATAAAAGTCTTCTATTTTCATTAAAATGGATTTATAACTTACTCTCCGCCTTTGCCGACTTTTTCTGAATTCTCTTTCGGGGTTTCTTTCAGGGTGTTCAGTGATATTATCCTCTATTTTATTCTTCTCTTGTTTATTTATTGCTGCTTCTGGCGCACTATTTGCATTTATAATAGCACCATCCCTTTCGCTTGCATCTGAGTCCACTGTGGCAAACGGATTACTTTTTTTTATTTGATTATGTATGAAGTCTAAGAAAATATTTATAGGTTCCTGTGTAGACGCATTTACTGGTCTACTATTAAAATAAATTATTTCTACTATAAGTATAACATATAGTACTGCGGTAATTTTTCTTCTAGTCTGTGCCATATTATCTTTATTTTTATTCTCTTTAAAATTCTTATATAGATGGTTTTTTATCATAAACTATGCACAAATCTATCTATTTGATAAAATTAGATATATATTTGTTCGTGCATAAGCAATAATAAAATGTAAAAGCATTTTCAAAAAAATACATAACTAAACAGCTGTATTTATAGTCTTACTACTAGTTGTCTTCTATTGTACAATAAATACATTCTCCATTCAATGGAGTGGGTTTATATTACCGCTTGCACAAGTATTTTTCTTTAATAAACCATTTCTATTTAAAATTATCTGTATTCTCTTTTTATATTCCTCAGTCTTTCTGTATTAGAAATATAAATATTTTTAGTAAATGCCCTACTTATATTAACATACAGCAGCAGTTCTAGTATAAAAATTAAAATTAATGAAGAGGGGATTACATAATAATATTATTTATGCCTTACATATTATAAAAAAATATTTAAAATTTATAAAATGGAAGAGAAATATATCTTGTTCAAGAGAAAACAATTTAGACTAAGCACTATACCAACAGGAAGAAACATAATAGCACAACTATTGCTTATTCAGGCTGTATACACACAAGTAGAACTATTAGAAACAAATAGAATACATGATATGGTGTTGAGAAATAACGACAATGTAGCAATAAACCCTAATGGCGAAGTATCCCCATTAAAATTGCACCTAATGCACAATTGCGGATATATACAGAATCTAAGAAAGTACCTGCCATGGATAATAGACGCAGAGTCTAGCCACACTAAAGCAAATCCACCAAAGCGCAGTATATATTCTCTGTATCTACTAAATGGCACACACGCAGATTCAAACAAAACCAAATATTTAAAGGAATTCAATCGGCAGCTAGTTAATATGTTCCCCTCAGAGGAGGGGCGCCTGTCCATTGTGTCTGAAAGTTATGACTCGTTCACTCGGTTTCTGCAAGAGTACACGGATACCCAAGATGTTCTCTATGTTCTGGCCTCTCTATTCCTTCTCTCTCAGAATGTGAAAATCCCGATTGAAATAGTGAATGACCCAGATAAAGGAAATAGTTTGGTTCTAAAGAAAAAAGAAAGTAAAACGCCTGAATTTCGGGTTAAACTGTATATGACAATACTAGATAAGAATGGCGCCCCTATATACCAGCAGAAAACAGAAGACATAGTGAACTTCTTCAAGCATGTTGGGTATGGATCTTCTCTAAAGGTGCCAAAGGAGTTTTCCAGATACTATAATATTAAAGATCTGTCAGAAGGGAGTTTTCTGTGTAATCCAAGATTCCTCATCCAGTCGTATATCTTTGAGTACATAGACGACAATTATAGGTATATCGAGTTTGTGTTGGCTATTTATGAACTGCTTGATGAAAAAATGCCAATGAACAAGTACTATCTAAGTCCACTATCGGATAAAACGGCAGTAAATGCATATTTCTCAATGTTCATGGAAGGCACAGACCGCTCTTCCATAAAAGTCCCAGAGTACATCCAAGCAATAGCCAATGTTGAGAAGGCATGTAACGATTTATACTCGCAAACACCCGCTGTGCATAAGGAAGTACTGTCTATGCACTATCCGATTCCTTCTTCGTATATCAGAAGAAAAGACAAAAATATTGTGACCGAGGACAACTATATTGAGCACCTTCTTTTTGACCTGTTTGTCTGCTTTACTTTCAACCAGTATACAAACAAGCCTACCACAAGCCATTTACCCAGCCCATCCAGTCACTTAGTAGAATTCTTTGATAAAAACCAGTGCAAAATACAGAGCGAAGACTCCACACTACGCGGTGACTGGTGCAAGATGGTTTCAGGCAATTTGTCTGCTGAAAATGTTTTTTACACAGAGGAGAAGAACAAAATTGAGTTTGGGCTGCTAAATATGCTATATGCCATAAAGGGGCTGGCTGGTACCAATAAGGAGCTGGAAGTTGCAATTAACTGTGTAGATAGCATAATTAAGAGGAAAGGGATAGAAGAGTCAGATCAGGCAGAAATAAAAGAGCGTTTAGAGAATGTATTTAAGTCACTCTCGCTAAACAAGAGCATAAGAGTGGAGTGTGAAAAACTTAAGCTGATAAAAACATTTAGTGACAGAGTAGACATATTTACAGATGAAAATACTTTCATTGTGGTATCATACAGGGAGTATTCTTTTCATAGCTATAGAATGCTTGAAATAGAAATGCCCCACTTTATTTTTGATTTTGCAGTTGCACCAACAACACCCTCAGCTCTAAGCACAGTTGATTTTGGTGCTATTACCACCCAATTGCGCAATACCCCAGTTCCTAAAGCCCAACAAGATGTCTGTATTAAATGGCATATTCAGCAGTATTTGGATATTCAAACGAACAGAATTGCACATGTAATGGAAAAAGAATATACATTTACAAATAAAATAGCATTGCTATTGAATAGTGGGTACAATGCTATTTCTGTTAGTCTACTGCTCTGGGAGAACCTAGATTATATGGAGTATAGGGCCAAAATAGTTGAGCTATTTCTAATCCACTCTAGTGCAGGCACTCTGGATATTACCAACCCCATGGTGCAGTTTACATCCAAACTTATAGACAGCGCGCCACTAGATGATCTGAGAGTAAGGAAGATTATGCTGCGCGGGTGCCTATACAACAAGAACTTCGGGCTATATTACCCACAGATTAAGTATGATGTAGAAAAAGTGCTAGAGCCATACAAAGATTCTGCAAGTGCAGTGTCGTTGATTGAGAATCTGTTTTCTCTTGGCATACCTTCACTAGCCATTGCTAACTCCTTTGCATCACTAGCCGCATTACTAAATAGTTATAAAAGCAATAAGGAGAAATATTCCATCTTTGGATCAGAACAAGTATTCAGAAAAATAATTAAAAAGCTTTCAGAGAGCACAGAAGACAGTGCAGCTATAAAAACAGTTCTAAATACAATACGAAGCTGTACAGATGCAACAGGTGATTACTGCGCAGACAATATTTTTATGGGCTGGCTTTTTTGTATTGGATCCTTGAATGAAAATATACCGGTATTGGTTTTTAAAGCTCTTTATGATTACATAGAGTACATCAATCTAACAGAAAATGTGAAAGTTCTTTTAAGGTCTGGGTATATTGATTTCACAGCCAAGCGCACTGTGTGCCTACTTCTGGATAACAAATCAGAAATAATGAAGGGAGCGGAGGATCTTTCTTTTAAAACAGGAAAGTATCATAAAATACTAAGGTTTACTCGAAGTTTCTGCTTAACAGAATGCCCCTAAATTGGCTGTGTATAGTGGACAGGCGAATAATATCTTATAAACAGCCCCGCACATCTATGCAGTTTGCATTAAATGGGTCTATTTAGTCTTTTTTGTGTGCGATTTGAAATAAATAACGAATGTTTTATGGCTAGTTTGTTTATGCTGTTTATGTGCTATGTTGTGTGTGTTTTAATATAGCTATGTTTATGTTGATTTCTTTTAATATTACTGTGTGTGGTTTGTTATATTGTTTTAATATACTAATACTGTGAATAAAATAAATTTAAAGTAAATTGTATAGTAAAAATATTATTAGTGTATGGAATTATTATTTATTTTTTGTAAAGGATAAATAATTATATTTTTGTATTCATTGTTAAATATGCACAAGAATTGATAAAATAATATATAGCGAGCATTGTAGCCAAAAGAAACAAAGCGTAGTATGGTATCTCTCATTTGACCCGAATATATGCTAGATGTCTGGTATTCTCTGCCTATATATGTATGCATCATCTATATAAATACTCGGCAATAAAGCCATATAGGGGCCCTTTATCTATCAAAGTATTAAACAGCTACTAACCCGATCTTTATATCTCTAGTTCGAGTTATATTCATTTATACTCATTGAAATAATTTTAAATTGCATACCTGTTCTAATTTAGTATATATACTGTGAACTATGCATGATTTATTAAAAATAAAATATTATTTATGCCATACATATACTAATTATCCACATACAACTACAAAAGAAAATTTCAGAGTATATGCAACCACTCAGAGAACATATAAAGCATAAATACCTCGAAAATACTTCTGTAAATTATGCGATAATTATTATTAGAGGCAAATTGCTAATTAGGTAAAAGAAAAAAATCAAATATGGTAATAAAAATATTTTATTTGTAGTCTAAATGAAAAGCAGTATGATCATATTAAAACTGCTGCTATTAATGATGTGCAGCGCAGTGCGCGCAAGGCTTGGCCTGTGTGATATAAAGACAATAGAAGAGAGCTCCTTTGTTGTAGGCAGACTGAGCCTATTAATTAATCCAGATGGACCGCTGAATCTACTAAGAGGATACCTCTTTCATAAGAGCGGGGTAGTATACAACAAGCGGTTTTTTTCTTCAGCAATAGACACAGATTATAGCATGAAGAAAAGTGACAGATCAACAGAGAGTACGCATATATACACGTACACTAGAAACCCAGAAAATGACAAAACGTACAAAGAAAACAATGCAATGCGCAGATTGGAATATGGATCAAAATATTTGTCTGTGCTTTATAAGCAAATGATATATATGTTTCCGTGTGTAAACAATACTATTTCCATTGAGCCGTGTAGAAATGATTCATTCACTCGGTTTCTAAGAGTAAATAATAATGGCTTAGACAGCATGTATCTTCTTGCTGCGCTTCTGCTCCTTTCAGAGGGCATTTATATTCCTATTGAAATAGAAAATAGCATAGAGGGAAGCGAGCGGATACTATTAAAAGATTGGGCAGATACTATTGTTTTTCTTGACTTGCCTTTGCGGCTGGAAAGTACTATGCCAGATGGGACAATAAAAAAGGTGTACCAGAAGGAAACAGAAGAGGTTTTAAGATACTTCCAGAGCTTATTTATAGAGCCCTTTTTATCTGAAGTAAAGAAGTGTGAAGAGCCAAATAATCAAAGAAAATTTAATAGGGGATATTTCCTCGACAGTCCAAAGTTCCTTATACAGTCGTATATTTTTGAGTATATAGACACTATAGAGCAGTACAGGCTGTTTGTGACAGCAGTACAGATTTTGCTAACTGATTCAGGGTTATATCCAGAAAAGACAGAAGAGCAGAAAGAACTTATTAAGAAGACTTTAAATTATTGTTTTATAGGAGGTGGAGTATATAAAAATAATTTAAATGGCTATGCAGCAGATATTCTCAGCCTCAAATCTAAAATAGATAAAGATGCAATTCTTCCCTTCACATGCCCAGAAATGGTACCTTCTTATACCCATGTACCAGAGTATGACCACCTTGTACTTTTATTAACTAGGCGTATGAAAGATGATCTATATCAGTACAGTGACCATGTGGAGACAGTGCTTTTGAATCTGTTCACGTGTCTTACATACAGTCCAGAAACCAACAAATGTTCAACTGAGCACATGCACGGTGCCTCTACAGCACTAAGAGAATTTTTTAATAAATATTCAGTACCCACAGAGAGTGCAAGCCAGGAAAAACACAGAGACTGGTGCAGAGTTGTATCAAGGTTGAGCAATCCAAACATTAGGTATGTAAGAGAGAGTAGAACAGAGCTGTGTGGTGGCCTAGAGAACATTCTATATGTGATATCTGAGCTGTTTAGTGAAGGTGCTTTTATACGCACTGTCATAGAACACATAATTGGCCTGCTACGTAATAAAGAGGTAGGAGTAGAAAGAACAAAAAATGTAAAAGAACTATTTTTAAATGTTCTTAAGTATCTAGCAGGAAATCATCAAGTTGTTATTGACTCTGAATCATTGGTGTATTTTTCGACAGAGGGCCAGGCGCTTGATGCATTCGGAAATATCACTGTTGGGTTTGAGGCGAATGGTAAAAAAGAAAGCATAAAACTAGACATTCTGCCAAATTATTCTAAGTTTTCGCTTGTGCCAGAGTTCAGTGAAATTTCAAAAGATGCAGAAGATGAACTAATGTGTATGCAAAGAAAATACTGTTATACAAAAAAATATATTGAAGTTATCATTTCGGGTTATTTAAACAACAATATAGCCAGGCTGAAGAAAGAAAGCCCAGAACAAAATCTGAGTGTGCTTAATAGTATGTTAGATAAAAATGAGCTAAATAAAATATTTTTATCCGGGCGTATAGACTCTGTAGACTATAAAGCAGCCATAGTCAACTACTTTGATATTAATAAGGGAAACATACGAAATTTCAACGACAATAATCAAATGTTGCGGATTGTTACAAATATTATAGGAAGCGTGTCTCTAAACAATCAGGAAGAAAGAAAGAAAATACTGTTGCCGCTAGTCCATTTTAATACCTATAAAAATTGCATTTTAAAGATTCAATATGATCTAGAGTCTCTACCTGTATCAGAGATTGATGATAATTTGCTAAAAACTACAGTAGACATGGCATATTATAAAGGAATCTTTTATAAAACTTTCAGCAATCTGTTGGAGCATTCTATCTGCCGTAGAAAACCAGCGTGGATATTTGGGCCATATAAATCTTTTAGGGCGCTGTGTATTACACTGGTGGAAAGATATGATGTTTTTACACTATGGGAGGCAATGCAGGAAATGCAAAAGCACATAGAACCAAATAATGCAATGTCATTAAACAATATCTGGTTATTATGGCTATCGTATGCCTGTGAAGAAACATCATATAACCTAGAGACTATTGATGTTATTTACAGGCACTTAGATCCTGCATGCATTGCTAGTGGCTGTGTAAAGTGGATTGCAAAAATGCCAGGAATTAATTTCAATTATGTTCTATCTATTCTGGAAAAAGAGAAAGGCTCATTATATACAGAAGGCAGTGCAAAACAGAAAGAAAAATATGAGAAAGTTATAGCTCTTTTCAAATCTATCATTACCTCTGTAGCAAGTGATCTGCCCTTGATCAACCCAACTACTTCACGGAAAAGAGGCCATTCAGAAAATCTGGAATAGTCTATTATTCTTTTTTTATACGCGTATATGTTACATAGAATTTTATTAATGGCGAGTAATTAAACTGTCTAATATATGCTATACTACTATTATGCAATAAATAAAAAATAGATTTTCACTTTGTTATAGTTTTATATGGCTAAATTATTCTATTAGATACAAGGCATGGATAATATTTTATTTTAGGGTTTCTATATTTAAGGAAATGTCTTGACCTCTGTCACATGCATGCAGTAAATAATGTTAAAGAGTCGGTATCACATTCAGATTTTATTTATGATGTACTCACGAGAAGTAATGTGATCATTGCTCTGCTGCATAGCCAAGATGGAGAAGAGTGTGAAAAGAGAGAGCTCTTTGTTTTTTAATAGATAATAGTTTATTGATATAAGGTTTTCGGATGCTCAGCCAAATGGATAGCGAGCGGCATGTACTCGTTCTATATACTTCATATACCGCTCCTCATGCGCCTAGAGCGCTCATAACAAATTAATACTATTGACTGCTGGAGAAACTAATTTTTAATTCGCACGCCGTAGCATGAGTATTACTTGCAATTCGGGTTATTCGGGTTATTATTTCCTTCAAGCATTGGCCTAGTAAAAGCATACTTTACAACCCGAAATTCCCAACAGCTAATGTAATTAACTTGTTACTGCCATCCCAGGCGTATGGTAAAACACAATATAAAGAACAGAAATAAATATACAGTACTCTTTGTCCACCTGGCATGATGCATCTCTTGCCATGTATTAATAAACAGTGCTGTGTGTTCGGGCTGGCATAGACTATGGCATGATTTGGCGATAGGTATGTTTAGATAAACATATAGCCTGAAATAACAGATTGTCATTTATTGTGTAAACATGCCAAAATAAACAATTCTGATTTACTTGTCTATAAATAGAATTATGAATTATGAATCAAATAAAGCCAAAAATTAAGAATATTTTTTCCCAAAAAGACGACTAACTGCTTATCATTGAAAAAATTTGGCATAGGATAAAGTTTTATTTAATTTTTTATTTGATTGATCCTATAAATATTAAATATTAATATTAAATTTTTTTAAATAACTATGAACAATCAAAATATAGAGGAAACAAAAGAACAATTCAACAAAAAAATTGCACAAGAAAACTCTGAAAACATAGAAAAGACTGGCACCGAGTTAAAAGCCCCAGATGCACTTCTGCTTAAAATGGAAAAATTTGAAAGAATTACTTCTAAAGGGGTAGTGCTGCTTAAAAAAGTTTCATTTTCTCTGCCAGAAGGGAAGCTTATAGCTCTTTTGGGACTGAGCGGAGACGGAAAGACAACTTTAATGGACAGCATATCCGGTATGTGCACACCATCACATACAACATATGGAAAAGTCTATGTTAAAAACAAGAGTGGGAATCTTGTTGAAAGAGACGCCGAGAGCTGGTTTAACCGGGTGAACTACACGCATCAGGATATGATTGCATATAAAGGAGTTTCTCTCCAGAATATATTGTACTCAACTGCTGCGTGCTATGGAAAGAAGAAACAGGAGGCAGATGACTACATGGCTCTTCTTAGGCTATCAAAAGTAAAAAATGTACTGTTTGAAAATCTTTCTGGGGGGGAGCAGAGAAGATCTATGGTGATAGCTGGGCTTTTGGCAAACAAAGAATTAAACATATGGGATGAGCCGCTTACGGGGCTAGACTCGGAAGTAGCAAGAGTCATTATTTCTAGCATGCAAAAGACAAAAACCACAGACATAGTCACAGTCCACCAAGTCTCAGAAGACCTAATAAAGAGATTTGACCATGTGCTTCTTATGCACATGTCTACCATTGTGTATTCCGGGCCTAGGTCTGAGATGCAAAGCTATTTCGCTGAAAAGGGAATCCAGTTTCCAAGTGACATGTTCTATATAAACTATCTTATGAAACTATGTGCAGGAAATAGCGATGACCATATTGATACAAAAAACATCGAAATATTCAACGACTTGGCAAATGAGATCATACACAGCTCTCCTGGGCCAGTTGCATCAACGAATATTGGACTGCTTAAGACGCAGGCAAACGTATCTTTCCCCAGAGTTTTACAGATACTCCATAGGTCATTATGTATAGACAGATTGTTTAAAGGAAGTTCTATTATTGGGAATGTATTAACATTTCTCTTTATAGGAACCATAGCGTCTTTAGGTACATTTATTATGCTACATTCCGCCTATAACCCAAAGAATGTGCTACTTCCGTACTTTAAGTATAGCGAACAGCAGTGGGGAGCATATTTGGCAAACATGCTAAATCTAGTCAAAAACAAATTAGCTTCTGAAAGCACAGCAGACTCTAAGTTTGTTGAACAAGTTACTGCGCTGCAGATAGTTTCTGCAAACATTGAATGGGTATCTGCTCTTATTCAGATATTTGAATATGTGATATCGCTTAATTGTATTTCTGCATTCCTCATAGGGCCAAGCACGTTCTTGGCGCTAGACTTCTATAGGCTATGCAGAAGCAATATACACGGAAAGCAGTTTACTGTTGGTGATTTTATGTGCGCACTGAGCATTGACACTTTTTTACGAAAGTCGCTCATTTTCTTTGTAATGTTAATGGGAATGCTTGCCATTTCAGTCGGAATTATGGATCCTATCATACTCAGCAGCTCTACTATCGGCTATGCTATTCCTATTAGTTTGATGTTTTTCTGTAGTATTTTGCTCGGACTGCACTCTATTATGCTAAACTTTGCTCCTATTCCGCTACTGCTGTTCTCCATAGTAGGGGGTTTATATGCAGTTGTTATAAATTTAATACCAAATATTATACTATCTGCTGTGGGCTGGGTTGACCCTTCATTGCGCGCGTGCCCAGACACAATAATTCCACTATTTGTGCGAGAAAATACAGAAATATGGCTTGAAGTGATAGACAGGTTTAATACGCTTTCCTTTATAAAATCTCTTATGAAGGTGGGGTTACAAATAGGTGTAGTGTTTACTAGATTCATGATTGTGTGCAATCCTATTAAATATTTTGCACAGATGCTATCTAAGATGTGCTTGTATATGAACTATATACGTCTCGATTCTACTATGAAACATTCTATCGACAGCACTACAATTAATAGAATCTTAAAGGAAATAGAATTATTAAATCCAAGTAAATCCAATAGTTCTGATAAATTAAAATTTCAGGATGGTTCTTTTGCTATAGAGAAGCTAAAGCTTTTCTGCTTTAGCTCTGAGCCAAATGAAGTATTTGACAAAGCAAGCTCTCTTAAAGACATATCTGCGCTGCACATCATATGGAGTGAAACTCGGTTCTGGCTCTTGCCCGCCGTATTGATTGTACTAACCGGCCTTTACACATACAGACATCTTCAGCCAAAGCTAAGAAACTAAAATGCGTATTCATAAATAAATAATTATGGTTTATTTATAATTTTTACTGGCCACCTCTATTTACTAGTTCTATTGACTCTACTTTCCAGAATATGCCCGGGCATTCAGTCGTAATAATTTATTCTTTGTATTTAATATTTCTACATTCTTATATGTTCTGGCAGACTACCCTATAAGTAAATATTAACAGAAAGAGAACAAAGCAAAAGTTTTGTGAACTAGTCATAATTTATTAAAAATTCAATATTAACTACAGTATATTATTATAACACAGCAGTATTTCTCTAAATTCTAACGGGTTGAAAGTATCATATATTCTAAATTTAATTTGATATGTCTCTGATAATCAGTTTGTGTTCTATGATTTATACTGTTTATGTTGATTTCTTCTGTTGTATTCTGTATGGTATTTTAGTGTATTTAAGTATAAATTGTTTGTTCTTTATGTTCTATAAATAAATATTTTACTTTAAAATAAAGTGTATAGTACTGCTAATAATAACATGAAAGGATTTATTTACAAGCAGTTTATATTTAAAAATAAAATAGAAAAAGAAAAGAAGAAAAAAGGATAATGGAGTATATAAATGTAGAATATCACAAGTAAAGGCAAGGAAACACACATAATAAGAAAAGAAGGTGTGATATGACAAAGCACTTATTTGCAGTCAGAATATAATTATATTTAAAGATTTCATGTTCTATACTAATAATAAGAGTAATTCAATTCATGTAAATTTTATTTTATGCAGAATATATATACTGCAGGGATAATTTAAGAGAGTAAATTAGTTGTTTTTTTACAAAGCATTAAAATAATAGAACAGGATTATTATCAAGTTAATTCTATTTTAAAGTATATGTTGCCAATGGGCTATATATTAATAATTAGTTTAATAAAATATTATCTTGGTTTTAATTTGTTGGCAACAGTATAAAAGAAAAATAATTTCAACTCGAATTTAAATATGAAAGAGAGAGACAATATACTCAAAAAAAACAAAAACATGTGTATAGAAAGAAAAACATTAAATAAGAATAATATACTTATAACAATAATAATATTACTGACGATACACAGTATATATGCAAGATTAGACACAAGAGATGCTAGTACTATACAGAAAATGGAACTAGGAGATAAAGACAGCCTAGTAGCAATACACCCAGAAGGCGGGCTTTCTCCATTCTACCAGTGTATTATGGAGAGAAGTGGATATATAAAGAACTTAAGGGGATATATACATGCCATAGATGGGAGTGGAAACCAAGTTGGAGGGTATGGGTCTACTATACTCAATGAGTCTAGTGAATACATGCAGGCATTCACACAGCAGCTGATTAATATGTTTCCATCAGAAGATAGATATTTATCTATTGAGTCAGAGAGCCCAGACTCATTCACTCGGTTCTTAAGAAGGCATGAAGACAGGTCAGATAGTTTATATATTCTTGCTTCTTTATTTCTTCTCTCTGAAGGGATAAATATTCCTATTAGAATAGTGGAGAGTAAAGTGAATAAAAAGTAAAACAGAAGAGGATAATACTGCTGAATCAGCATATCAGAAGAAAACAGAAGAGATAGTGAGCTTCTTCAAGAGTCTTGCCACCACCAATTCATCTTACTGCTTAAAAGTGCCAGAAGAGTTCTCAATGCCTACTGCATATGAAGAGTTCTTAAAGGGGAATTTTCTGTGCAATCCGAAGTTCCTTATACAGTCGTACTTCTTTGAGTATATAGACAGTGTGGAGATGTATGAAGAGTTTGTAAGAGCGGTGTATGAATTAATTACTGAACAAATATCAAACAAAGATGAGAAGAAGAGTGAGAGTGTATGTATGGAGACAGGAAAGAAAGCACAGGAGGTGTTTGACAGTCTATTCATTAAACAGGACTCCGCCGAGCTGCCTAGCAAAGTGGAATATATTAAGCATTTTAGATTGGTTGAACATAAATTGAATGATGAACTACAACCGATGCCATATTTTGAGAAAAAAATATATTATGTTAATTACTAAAAAAAAATTAAAAAACCTAGTAAAAGATTTTTAAGGTATTCCATGCCATTATATAATCGAAAAACAGACGAGTTTGCTAATCGAAAAATAGACAAGGGTGATGTTTCTATTGAGCCTGCTCTTCTATGCCTGTTCTTTTTATTTGCATTTGATTCTAGGACTGGAAGGTACGATATAAGCCACATACCCAATCCATCGAAAGAACTAAAGAGATTCTTTGCTAAGTATAGTGACCCATTACAGGTTATGGACTATACTATGCACAGAGAATGGCATAGGGTTGTAGAGGACCTGCCTAATGAAGATATTTTCTACCGTTTAGATTCATCTGACAGCAGAAATAAAATTCAATTTGGCATACTAAACATGATATATATCATGAGAGAAATAGCAGGTAAGAATGACACTAAAATTAATGAAAATATTGAATCTATAAAAAATATTATAAATAGCCATAAGAGGAGTATTTCCAAATCAAATAAAAATAAGATTTTAATGGATGTACAAGAAATATGTATCTCTCTCTCAAAAAAAAAGAAATTTAAAACACAGTGTGATAGCTTTTTTACAAAAAGAATAGAAAATAACATAATGGATATAGGTATCTATGAGGATTCGCCTTTTCAGATTATATATAAAAAGAAGGAGGAAGACCCAGGTTCTATTGTAATAGATATAGATGATTTGAGTGATCCTTATGATCATTATAATGGCGGTGTAAAATGTAAGGTTTCCGAAAATATGCTAAGAAATGGTGCTGGTGCTGCCGAAAAAACATTATATGATATAAAAAAGATATACATGAAATCAATGAATTACATTGGATGCATTATGAGACAATACGCGAATCTATATCTGGACAAAATCTCGTATGCAATTAAAGGTGAATACAGATTCATTAAAAGAATAAAGTATATTTTAAACAGTGAACACACTAACCCAAACGGCCTACTACTGTGTGGTAACCTAGAGACCCTACATTACAAGTATGAAATAACTAAAATATTTTTGGAAAAACACCAAAGTTATACTGAATCCTATAGAAACATAATAGATAAAAACAATCCTATGGTGCAGTTTACAAGAAACCTTATAGGAAGTGTTCCAATTAATGAACACGCATTAAAGGAAAAATTTCAATCCAGTGGTATTTATGATGATGAGTATAAAAATTGGTATCCTTGGGTAGAACAGGATGTTTCTACGGATACGCCATCAAACAGCAATTTACAGCCAAGTACTTCAAATGCCGTATAATTAATAAAGAATAGCAGTTGAGGTATAGAAGAGTATGTGAAACTAGCGGGATATTTAGTTGAGACTTCATACTTTATATCAATAATCAATAAACTATTTTTCATTAAACATACTTTTAACACCTCTATTTATATTTGATTATACTACTACTATGCAATAAACAATTAGTTTTACACCTATTTGTTGTTTTATACAACTAGATTGTTCTATTGTATTAATTATATTATGGTATGTCATGTATCACTTGGTATATTCT